CTCATACTTGATGTGATTAGCCTGGAAGCCTGAATGTGCTTTCTCATTGTCTAAGAACAAATGCTACTCAGATTTGGCTGATGGCTAGTACTACTATGTCTAGCCTTCTCTATCATTTGTAATTTAACCCTTCCCAACCTTGTGTGCTCATTGCACAGCTGTGTTGCAGAAAGAACAACTGTCTTCATGAGGAAATCATGGTTCAATTTTAAAAGAATATAATTCTATTCTAAAACATGTATCAACTATCCATTTCCTATTGTTGGTTTCAGAGCCCAATTCTTGGTTTTGTTTTCATCTTTTACTCTGCTTCAACAGTGTCATTTCAGTGCCAGGGAAATGGGAAGACAAGAGTGAGATTTTACTGTCCTTAGTTTTCATCAAAGAAACATGAACATTATTATACAATTTCTTTTCAGTAATTACACAGTCTTCAGAATATTTTATTTATGAAGACAGCTATCACTCCATTTGAATTTGTTGAGAGCATGAGGCATTATAGCAGATAGAGAATGGAAAATGCAAATGTAACACAAATTCCCCTTATAGAAAAGTCACAGTATAGATCTTTGAAAGAGAATCCATTAACATACAGGAAGAAAATAATGGGAATTCCTCTCAAGTTTTATGTCTTATCTCTTTCAGCTTCATTTTTGTGTATATTTATAGCATAGACTGATATAGACTAATAAATATGTGTAAGTTATGAACAACACAATTGTTTTAGCCTGTAAGTATGTACAGTCAAAGAAGTTTGGAAACCACTGAGTCTAAAGGAATAGAATATATTAACCAAAAAATTTGGAGTAATTAAGAATTAAATTATGATATGCTCATAAGTAGTTTTAAGACATTGCAACAAACTTAGTATCTTTCATTAGGTTATCTGTTTGAGCTTTTTTTTATTGTTTTTACTACCTGGTGATCATATGCAACCTGCAGAAAACCAATGAACTTTTATGATATTCACTATGTTCCTAGATTCCTAATATCTCATAGTGGAATATACATATTCACATATGCATGTATGAATGACACCAAAGAGGATATTTTCCCATTCTTGCCAAATATAGGACAGCCAGAAATGATCATCTCTTAGTTCAGAATTGATTAATTTTGACCTTCAAATTCACCAATCAATGAAATTTTATATAAGAAAAGGGACTTTATATGGGCTCTCCTTTCATAAAATGGAACTTTTTTTGATGTGTGATCTGACACAGATCTAATTTATATGCTACAAATGTAAATACGATTTGGGGAAAATTTTATTCCTTCATAGATCCAGATTTCATGAATAAATTAGATGTCAATTAAAATGTCATTGCAGCAGTAATATACTTCCTCAGTGGGAATCACAGAAGGCTCCTATGTATGTCCTTTTATTTGAATGTGGTCTACACTTTGCCAATTTTCAGAAATATTCACTCAAATTGCTAAAGAGCTGGTTTTCAGCCAGTGTTCCAATGGCTGAACTGGCACATTGAAAGAAATTCAGTTGGGAAGCAGGCCTCACCAAGTGTTTGCCTCATCTTCCAAAGCAAGCTTCTTCTAAGAGAAGAAAAAGCAAAGTTTGAGAAGAGAAAGAATCCTGAAGGGAAATGTGAAGGAGATGAAGAAGAGAACGAACAGAAGAAAATAAAGGTGCTCTCACGTTTTCAGTTACAACAGTAGCCCTGTAGACTTAATTGATATTCATCTGAGAAAAACCAAGGAAACCCATTGAAAACTATAAAAGAAAATAAAGGTCTGTTTTTGTCTTGAATGTTGAGTTCTGTGTTGTTTTGACTGTTGAGCACAGTGATGAGATTTATAATGTGACTCTGCTCCTCACTCCCTCCTTTGAAAATAAAAGGACTCTTTGTGTAGTCTTAAAAATGTTAAATACTTGGTGACATTTTGTGGTATCCTGGCTTCTCAATCATTCATCCTGTCTCATTCCACTACTGTGTCTTGTACAGTATTGCATATGTGTGTGGTGTGTAGAGGTCTAAAAGGGAACTCTCTTATCTCTGGTAGGAGCCACACCATCCAACTGCTATACTTTCAAGTGTTTCCGTGTTCTGTGTCATTGTGATTCTTTGTTCAGATGTGCTGCCCAGAGATAGGCCCATGCTTGGCTTTTTGTACAGCTGTCATATCAAATTCTTTATAGAATTATGTTGTCTTTTGGTGAATGGTTTTCTCCCAAATAATATTAATAAGGGGCAGGAGAGAGTTCTGCTTTTAAAATAGTGTAATTTTTATGTTTAATCTAGGCTTAGTCTTCTTAAAGTAAAACTTGGTTAAAATCATATAAAAATTAAAGATTCTGCTTCAGCATTGCAAAATGTTAAAAGCTGAGGCAAGGGGGCTGCCTGGAGATGTAGTTCAGTGATAGGACGTTTGCCTGGTATGTGCAAGACCCTTGGTTTGATCCCCAGCAGAAAGGTAGGGAGACAGACACAGAGATATAGAGGAGAACAAACTATGTCAAAATGTAACAAGATATATATGCCCTACAATGTTAGGTAATATGAGAAAGATTTCTATTAAAATTTAAAAAAATCACTGAAAATAAGTCTACCATCCTTAAATTCTAAAACTGTAATATAGGTCTTTTTTTCTTTCATCTTCCTTCTAGAACTAAAAAAGTAGTATCTTGTGCCACCTGATACCTTAATGACTGTAATTCTCATCTACTAGGCATCTTAGTGGTACCCAACCCCCTACTCTCAAAAATTACTTCTGTCTTTACATGCAATCTTGCCTTGGAGCAAATAGAATAATTACTAAATAATTCCCCCATGTCCTTTCCTAGATTATGATTTTATGAAATGGAATTACTCTGTTCAAATGTGTCCTCATTTTTACAACTCCATTTAGTGACCATAAGTTATCATATGGTTTTGTTCCTTCCTTCTTCCTGGGCATTCTCATTTGAAATTCTCTATAATGAATCCATCTTGCTTTTAACTTGAAAATCCATTCTTTTCCTAGGCTTCCATCTACCCATCCATCAAACACCCCAATGTGTTGAAAAAAATTCAAGGATGAACCAAGAGGGATTTTTTAAAGACTTTATTCAAAGGAATTTGTTATGTAACACAATGATAACATATGCTGACAGATGATAAGGGATTTTCTAGTGAAAAGGCTGAATGACTGTCGTTATGCTCAGCTACTGATGTCAGTAAAAGAGTAAAAAGTTTAAAGTACAGAATTTAAAAACAACTGATTTTTAAATCCTAAAGGTGATCCCTTAAAAATTGCAAGATTATTTTGGACTTTTGGGACAGTTTTAGGTGTACTATTTTAAAACATGTTTAGAGCATCTTTAGCATAGCCCAAGGGATGGTGTTCAGAGTTTACACAAATTATGGGTATAACCCGTCACCCTTTAAGTGTTCTGTCTCTGATATTCATCTTCTTTGCCAGAATATGAGTACACAGAAATATTTCTGTGTAGTTCAACTTATGAAAGTATTACTGCCTATGTATAGTTTGTATCCAACTAGAAACTTCTTCTAAGGAAAGTGCAGTAAATTTTATTAAAAGATTGCATGCAAAACATGAAATAAATGTTCAGAATGCTGCATTTCAATGGAGTCACACATTAATTGGCACCTCCAATTAAATACACACTTTAAATAATATGAATTCCACCATTTATATGAGATTATGACTTTGAGTAAAAACCTCCCCTCATATAAAATAAAGATTTCTTAATATGATTATGAATATCAAATGAAATCATGAATGTTAGGTATTTATCCTACAGCCTGGCACAAATAACTGTTCATGAATAATATTGTTAATTAGGGGATCTACTTTTAAAACTGTATCCAAAATATATTTGCGTGGACCATGGTGTAATGAATAATATTTTATATTTATGCCTTGGGCCAGTGTAAGAAGTATTCCTCAAATAAGACACTACTATTACCCCAAAGAAGAATCCTAATTCATTTTTATTACTTATATGACAAACAAATTGATATGTTTATAATTGATATAACATCATTATTCAGACAATTTTAAAGCAAGATGACACTTTGATTTGTTCATCTAGAGTTAAAATCTATACTTGTAATTGTCTTAATTTTTCTCAAAAACATTTAATTGGAGTATTTTCTTGTCTAAATTTTAAAATGTTATAAATTCTTTTAGTACATGCTAGATAGTTTGCTTATAAATATATCCATGGGCTTCATTTTAATTTCATTTAAAACATTATTATTGCTGAGCATGGTAACTTATACCTGTAATCTCAGCACTTGGGAGACAGAGGCAAAAGGAGTACCTTGTATTTGAGGCCAGCATCGTGTGTTGCAGATTGCAGCCTGGGCTACATAGTGAATTGCAGGCCACCCTGGCCTCCATAGTGAGCTCCCATCTAAAACTCAAAACATTATTTTTGATAACATGATCAGTTACTATATTGATGATGCACCAGGAATTGCTATGGCAGTCACATGAAATCTAATAATTTATTAAATAACTGGACAATTTTAATCATATATATGACAAACAATACCATTACATCTTAGGAAGTCTGAGAAAATGCAAATCATTCAGTATTAATTAACCAGAAGTCTATTAAATAGCATCTATGTTTATTATTGTCTTAAAATACTAAACTATATGAAGCAACAGTTTCATGTTATATACATTTTATGTTCTAATTCTTTGAACTCAAGATATGTGTGTTATTTTTCTCTCGAGGCTACTTGTTGAATCATAAATTCTACTTAATCCTTCTAAAACAATTCCTGCCCATAGCTCTATAACCCAATCTAACTAGCATCTGTGAGTTATTTTGACTTACTTTCTTTTATGTTATTTTGCTTCTTAGATATACTTAAGTATTAGATTGTTTTCCTAGTCATTCATTAGATTGTTTTGCAAATAATCCAATTTTTTAAAAGATATTTTCAAACTACACAATAACCTTATTAAACTGTCTATCTGTCTCTTCCCCCCTCCCCATCCTTTACCCCACTCCCACCCCCATCTCACAGGTGAAAATCAGGAAGAAAAGTTAGGAGACTCCTTGCAAGATTTGTATAGGGCACTGGAGGAAGCCAGTCTGTCACCCATAGGGGAACACCGCATTTCAACCAAGATGGAATACAAGCTATCATTTATGAAAAGATGTAATGATCCTGTGATGAATGAAAAACTGCACAGGCTGAGAATTCTTAGAAGCACTTTAAAGGTAAGCTATGAAACAGACAGATAATTCTTTTGGGGAGAGCCATTGTTTAACTGAAACTAGATTGCCAGTTACATGGTACAAAACGGAGCTACAGGAAGGAAAAGGCCAATAGGCAGAACCTGCAGCAGAGTAATTGGAAGGGAATCCTGTTGTCATTTTTTTAAGTGAAGTCCTAAGTCACTGACTAAATGCTATAAGACTTAGTATTAGGAGAAAACAGGATGTGCTTAAGACTTTCCTCTCAAAAGTCAGGGTTAGTGCTTCTCCTTAGTCTTTTGATTCCTTAAGAAAAGTTCACCGCGTAGTATATTTATCAAAGGTATTAAAGGCATATGTTATGCATGTAGAATGTTTAAAAGGCTTGAAATGTTTTGTGAATATTTCCTGCATAATCTTCACCATATGTAGAGTGAAGCTACAGTCATCATGTTCTGCGTAAAGATTGCACAATTGTTCCGTTTACCTGATCAGTTCCTAATGCATGTACTACCTTCCCAATATATATTTCTCTAAGTGCTTAACAGTGTTTTCATTCTTCTTATGCCACACCTAGATTGGGAAGCAGGTGGTAAGGACAGGGGAACAGAGAGGAAGGAGTTAAAGAAAGAGATTGTGTAGAGTAGGAAAGGACCTATCTTACAGACTACCTGAACAGGTCCTGTACCACACAAAAAGTGAAAATGAAATTTAAAAAAAGAATTGTCATACAGAATGTGTAGCACAGTAATTCCAAAGCACAAAATGGCATAGGCTTCTTTGAGAAGTGTTTTAAATCTATAGCATCCTCCTAAGAATGTAATTTTGGAATAGAGATGAGTACTAAAAAGATAAATGCAATAGAATAATCTATGATTTGTAATGTTTTCAGGTAATAACAGCCAAGAATTCAGAGTCAATTAGCTCTATGGTATTTATACAAATTCTATTCCACTAAACAATTAATGAACTTTTGTAGTTAATACCACAATTCTAGGGAGAGCTATATAATGAAAAGAGTAATTCTACTGGCCAACTGTCTTCCAAAGATATCTACACCTTCCCTCCTTATTTTGCTTTTGCCTTCTTTTGTTGAAACATTTTTCATACAACTTACTCAGATCATGCTTTTTCTCTCTTCCAACTTCTCCCAGATCCTGTCCACCCAACTCTACACCCTTTGTTCTCTGTCTCTCTTTGTCTCTGTCTCTGTCTCTCTCTCTCTCTCCCTCTCTCTCTCCTTTCCTTCATACTTCCTCTTCTCTTTTTTCTTGTATTTTATGCTCTGTGAGTATTCTACAATATTTTTCCTATAACAATGAATAAGAGCCATTGTAAATGTTGAGTTCAAGAAGAATAGATGAGTCATGGTGCTGTGTTTGACTCTTCTACTCTTCAAAGACAATGAAGAAAGTCACTAAAAACAAATCTCCCTTGCTGGTTCAAAAACTTGGTGTGGGGGGCTCATTATAGAACCCTGTGCTTTGGGGCCTGGAAAAGTAATAGGTTGTAAAATGTTCCATTACATAGAAACTCCTAAACAAGCCCAAGAGTAGATCTCAGATCCCACTATAGGCAACTCCCAGCATCATCAGTCCCATACCTATTTAGTATCTTGTCTGCTTACTGGCCAGAACTTCTTGGGCATGTTGTTGTCTTCTTTCCCTCCCAAATCGGACACAGAGGTGTGTCTTTTTACTTCTGCAGAACATTTCCTGGATTCCCTTAGCCCTCTTCACATCCATGAAAGACAAGACTGCTTTTCTCAAACTGTCCTAACCCTTTCTCCATCTTACCTTCCACAGCAGAATTGTCTTCTTCTACATTTGATACGTGTGCCTTTGAGAATTATATCAAAATACCAAAATGATGCTTAGTCATCAATCAAATCCCAGCCTACAGTATGAAAGGGAAAGTCACGGTTCATTATACGGTCCCCGTGCTATGGGAAAGGATCCTTTTTGTTGTTGTTGTATTTTTGAGACCTTAATAGTCACAGGGCAAGAATTCTGTATTTGCAGCAACAGGGGTTCCCGTTTACTCTCGCTGGAGCATAAGGAGTATATCATAAAGAAGGAAAAGCAACACATGTTCCAAAATAACTCAGCAGATAGACAGTGGGAAGTCCACTTGATGGCAGGGATAGGATGCTACAGAGGCCCTCATACAAAGAGGAAAGCTTCTTTTCAAGTGTTTAAGGGAGGTTTGAAGAAATGTGGAAGGTTTCCTTAAGACATGAAGGCTTCCATAAGCAGAGATGGCAAATAGAAAAGGCCAAGGGTACAAATTAAATCGCAGACAGCAAGCAATCCAAGACATAGCACTGAGTAAGAAGAAAGACACACCATGATTTTAGTCTAAATAACCAAATGTGAGCATATCAGATCTGTTTCATAGTCCTTTCTGAATTTATTGGCTCATTGACTTATTTTAAATTTGGATAAATTTCACCTCCATCATAACTATTGAATTCTTTTGCTTTTCAGGCCAGAGAAGGGGAAGTAGCCATTATTGATAAAGTTCTAGACAATCCAGACTTGACATCTAAAGAATTCCAACAATGGAAGCAGATGTACCTCGACCTTTTCTTGGATATCTGTCAAAACACCACCTCAAATGACCCACTAAGTATTTCTTCTGAAGTAGATGTTATCACTTCCTCTCTAACACATACTCATTCATACATTGAAACCCATGTGTAAGTGCATTCTGACTCAAGGCCATCTAGTACCTGCTGGTACCCTGAACAAGTATATGAGGTAGTTTTTTATCAATGTGTTGGACACTTGACAAGCTATTACTTTAATGTTACCAAACTATATGAAACAAAGCATACATGGTCACATTACCACTGTCTTTAAAGAGCATTTGTATGTTTTATATGCAGTCAGTGCTCAGCTTATGTTTACCATGTGCAAAGCCAACAATCTTTAATGACAAATTAACTTTTGCAAACAATTCTGAATACAGGTGATCTTCAAGTAGAAAAACCACAAAAAGGCAGTTTTCTATCTGAAGTCATCTTTTCTCCCTTTAAGTTAATTTTCTATAAATGAGACTTCAGACGTAAATCACAATTTTTTCAGGTGCAGACATCCTTGTGGGTGGGAAAGAATTTAAACCTTTTTATATTTATTAAAATGTTCTAAGAATTTTCTTAAACATTGCACAAAGTTTAATGCTGTAGTTTTATTTTTTGAAATGTAGGTGCGTATAAAAGAGTTAAGCAAACTAGAAGAGCATCACCATAAGAAAAGTTCAGGTAGCTCATATCCGTCTTAATAGTCTATTAACTTGTGCTAACTAGTTAATGGAGGTACTATTCCAAATCTATGAGAACACTGCATGGTGTATCAGGGCAAAGCTTTGTAAGATGTTTTTGTAACTAAGATCAAAATTGAAGATAGAGCTGCTTTATTTTCTTGGTTTAAATCTTCCTTTATTTTTGTAGTGACGAAATGCTGATTGTGTACAGAAGAATTTAAGAATGGATTTTTTAAAACAGACTTAACTCACCCAGAAAGGCAGCTAACAGCTATACATACATACATCTATATATATATACATAATTCCAGCCCAAACTCGTGGTTTTTGAACTCTTAACTCTTAAAAGACAAGGTATACACTGAAATGAGTCAATTTTCCAGGCAGTTTCCAATTTTCCCTTGATCTGTTAACTAAACTTCTGTAATTATATATCAGGTAGGGAAGTAAAATGCATTTAGTCTTGGCAGATAGAAGTTATATTAGAGAAAACAACATTGAAAATGTTAATGGACTTCTCTGCTAAGGAACAGTGGGTGGCAGTCATTCAATGAGTCATTACGTTGAGTGACCTGAGATCAAAAACTTAGGTTTTTCCTAGAATCCTGAACTGCTGATAGAGTGAATGGAGTCTATGAAAAAAAGTCCTCTTCATATATTGCCATTTCTATGTGTCTAGTTTTGGAAAGTGACCACAGCATGCAAGTGACTTGCTGCTTTTTAGTGTGTGGCTGCATAATGTCACGATTTGCTGTTTTTCCAGGAGGAAAAGAGCCTCCTTTACTATTCTATATCCTAAAATCTACTTCTGATCAGCTTTATCCTGTTGCCTGTACAGCTCAGTGAATGTACTTATATCTCTAAGAGTTCAGATATATACCAGTGAATATTTTTGCTGTAGAGGAGAAAGTAAAACTACACAGCGGGATCTTTTGCTTTGCTTTTGAAATCACATTAAATCACTATCGTTTTGCAGACTTTGCACAACTGTATAGGAGAGTGGCCTTTACAGCACATTTTCAGTAATCCTATATTTAGTCAAAATGGATGAGAAACCACACATTAACACGTTTGTTTGGAATTTTTGGGTCCAGTGTAATATTTTTATCATTTAAAAAAAACCCTATTTGTAAAAACATTTATTTACTGCATGGTTATTGGCACACATTAAATTTGTGGGATTTTGTGTATGTAAATGAGAGAGAGAAAAAACAAACAAAAAACCCCTCTTGTCCTAAAGTGAAGTATGCTTGGTATAGTTATTTAGGCATATTGATGTTTACTAGACCAGCCTGTATCTTCTCTTAAAAGTATCTGTACATGATGGATGTGTCACATATACAGTGGACAAACAGCCTGCAAACAACAATCAGTTGGTGGGAAAACTAGCTCTGTTGCTAGGCAGCAGCTTCCACTTTTGTGAAGTTAGCTGTTATTTTACTGGTAAAAATTAAACTAATGATTTTTACAAGACTCGTGACTAGCCTAGCATGAAGGAGACCTTTGAACACTATATATCTGTACATTTTTATTGCGTTAGTTTCAAATCTAGGGGAGAGGCAGCACTGCAAACTGAAGTCAAATAAATGCAGTTCTTATTGAATCCTTGTAAAGCACCTACTTTATTCATGCAGAGGGCTTACCACGCTTCTCTGTGACATAATCATACAGCCACCCTCACTCCCACCACCCAGCTACAAGTTCTTACTTTGCCACCTCACTGATAGCTAAGGAAAGCCACAAGTAACACCTGTGCAGGGCTTACCGCGGTCTCCTGTGAGACTTTGAAAACCCAAGCTGTCTTCCCACTGACCTGATATAACCATGTAAACTTCACCTACTCATTCCTTCTCTGTGAGCCCATCAGGGATCCACCAAAAATAAGCTCATTTTTGTCTTACAAATGTAGCATTTTGTGGTTAAGGGTTGCTGAAATATGTCTAAACTAATAAGCTGCCTCCAGCCAGTATAAAAGCAGACGGGGAAAGGAAGGGACAGAAAAAAAAATAACCAAGAGTAGTTTCTCAAAGAAATGCTTTTCCAAGATTTTTTTCCTTTTCAATTCCCTATCGATATGAAACTGTTAGAACAGAACTGTACTGGGGCCCCGCACCATAAAAATCATTCCCCTCCCTACAACCATTCCATGCTGTTTATCAAGGCGCATGCACACACGCATTCACAATTTCGTCAGGTAACACTGCCTTGGGGGACTGTTCCAGCTGTTACAGCCAACTTTCTGTAGTTTGTGTGTAATTGTACATTTTTTAAAGGGGAGACATGAAAATAATCACAGTCACCTGGGAAACACTTTAGGGAGGGAAATAAGGTCCTATTTTATTTCCAAAAGTCCACCTCTAGCCCAGGATGAGTCTGTCCTTCTGAAAACTCTGTTTAACTAAAGCTGATTCATACTGCATTTGACCGTTCCTGGCTGCCAGTTGCAGTTGAAGGGGAATAGTTATTCTTTGGCCAAAGTGTTGTTTGCCTCCTTTCCCCTCAGAACTGCCCTATCAGAGTCCCAACTCTTAGAGGGAAAGCTTTGCTCTGCAGGCAAGGGCAAGTACAACTGTCTCTTGGATCTGCTGAAGATGGGACTCACCTGTTCAACCCAGTACTAAATCTAGTGCCTCTCCAGGCTCTCCCTCCCTTGTCTCCTCCCCACCTTCCTCCAGCTGCAGCACTGCACACCGAAGGCCACTCCACGCCCAGGGCAGCGTACAGCCTATGTCTTCCCAACGGTCCAGGTCAAGGTCATAGCCCACTACGTTACGGGTTGGCACCTGGCGTGAATCCCTCCACTTGAGACCGCCCAGCAGCAGGACCGTCTCTTCTACCACTGCAAGCCCATAGCAGAAGCGGTCGTAGGGTAGTGACCGCAACCGAGTCCACTGGTCTGTGCTGGGGTCATAGCGTTCGATCTCAGAGAAGGGCTCATATCTTCCCAAAAAGGCAAACACTGCACCTCGCAGCACCGAAAGGTAATGCCCGTAGCGAGCGGTGCCCATGGGTGCCCTTTTACTCCATGCCCTTTCTCCGGGGCTAAGGGAGTACATATCCCGGAGGCTACTTGTGCCTCCTTCACCTCTCCCAGCCTTGCCCCCGGAGATGTACACGACACCGTGGTCCCCAACGGCACCCGCGTGACCATGCAGTGCCCGGGGCAGCTCCCCAGCTGCCATCCAGCGGTCCCTTCGCAGGTCGTACATCTCCACTGAGGCCAGTGCCTCGCCACAGGAGCCCAGACCCCCAACGGCCAGGAGACTGTCACCTACCACTCCACACCAGAAGTAGGCCCGCGCTTCTCGCATGGCAGGCACTTCGGTCCAAGTGTGGAAGCGAGGGTCATACCGGTGCACTAAGGCCGTGACCGACCTTGGGCCGTCTGCCAGGGAGCTAGATGGGCTGCCAGAAAGGCTCTCCCCTCCAAGGACAAATAGGAAGTTGCCCGTGGTACATACACTGTGGCCTAGCATCGGTGCCGGCAGCCGTGTCAGGCTGCGCCAGCTGTGGTTGTACACATCGAAGGACACCACATCCTGGGTGAGCTCCCACTCTTTCTCCTCCATCTCTTCCTCCTCTTCCTCTTCCTCCTCTTCCTCTGGTTCAGGTGCAGGGCGCCGATTCCTAACTACCTCTGGTAGGACCACAATTTCCTCAGTGACAGTCTCCCTAGCTCTGAGACCACCAATCAGCAAGATGCGGGTCTGGGCACTCCGGATACTAGTCTGTTCTCCCTGGAGGAGCGGCTGGCGGGAAGGTGCTGTGTGGTAATTGAGGGCCTGGATGATGAGGCCCTTGATCCTAGTAGGTAAAGTAAGACCTGAGCCTGAGTACACACGCCTCAGAACACCTTCAGGCACCAAGCCAAAGCGGATACATCCAAGCAGGGTTGAACTATGTGCCAGGCGCTGGGTCGCAGGCTCCTGCCTCAGCCAGGCTAGTGCCAGACCCAGCAGCTGCGTCTCAGGCACCCGTGCCACATCCGGGGCACCCAGCACAACCTTAATTGATACAGGGTTGAGCTCCAACAGCCCTGAGGGCCCAGTGCCCATCAGTAGCAGCTCCCGCAGGTGGCGCACAATGCAGTGCTCGGCTGCACCTAGGGTGCGAGCCAGGCCAAAGCGAGCAGCCACATTGGCAATGACGCAGCAATTTTCTGGGGCAAGCTGACGTTCCAGGTAGTTGCCACACAGCCTCAAGGCCTCCGTGACTTGCAGGTAGCTGGCAGCCTCCAGAGTGTCCTCCACAGTGTCCATGGAGAGGGGCAGCCAGGCAGTATAGATGAAGTCCAGCAGGCGCTGCAGGCCAGCCGCCGACGGCACATGCAGGTGAATTACATGAGCCCGTGATTCCTGAGTGTGACTCTTGAACAGGGCCTTGAAGTAGTCGCTGGAGCATGCCAGAAGTGACCTGTGCGCTGGGAACTCACTGCCCTCAGTCTCCAGTGTCACATCGCACAAAAAGCCCTCAGCACGTAGGGCCTGGTAGCCGGTGAGAAGAGAGCTGCCATGAGCTTTGCAGTAAGACAGAAAGTAACTCATGATGCCCAGGGCGGGAAGCTGGAATAGAGCCAGCCAGGCGCGGCTGGAGGCATCCCCGTGCTGCGGACCCCTCACCTCCGCTGTCCAGCTGCAGAGCCCCCTAGCAAAAGCCGACTTTTGCCGGCTCAGTTTAAAACCTAGCCTTTCTTCATCCAGATCGGGCAGTTGTTTCTTGCCGGTCTCTGACAACGAATGAATGATCTAGAGACAATTTCCATAAGTCTCTAGTAGCAGAGGATGTGAATTTCAGAGTCTTCTCGGTACTGCTAGGCTTGGTTTCAGCTGCTGCTGAGCATGGCAGCACGTTGCCCAAAGCCCCCTCCCCTACACAATTTGGGGAGCCCACACTTGCACGCCAGGGGCAGCGGTGGCCGCACACCATCACCTGGAGAGGTCGATCTGACAGTGCACCAGCCAGGGTCCTGGATCTCCAACAGGACAAATGCGTGGATGTGGCCCTATTGTGCGTGTCCTGAGAGTGCTGGATGGTGGCTCTGAATTCCCAGCCATGGAGCAGGACCTGTTCTGTGGACACCCGCACAGTCCGAAGACAACTGGCTAGGGGGCTGGGGGTGAACTTGTTCCGAGAGGAGGATCAAATCAAAGCCTGTGGCATTGGGGGGAGCGCAGGTCAGTGTAGAGGGTTGGGAGCGTGATTGGGCGCTGCACATTACATGCCGGTAGCTCACAGAGACAGGAATAGTGCTCGCCTTGGCTCACTGGCGCTCAGTGACCGGCCCCGCCCTGCGCCCCAGCTGCTGGCGGCTAACCGCCCAGGGGCCCAGCAGGAAGCTATCTGAGCCAGGACACTGGCTTTCAGTTACCGCGGGAGACCGAAGGGTCCCCTCGAACTTTGAGCTGAGGAGGGGGAAGGTCAGGGCTCACGACAAGTCCCTTGGGACTCTCGGCCTGGTGATGTTTTGGGAGGTGTACCTGGCTGAGCGGGAGGACTGGGGACCTCTTGGTGCCCCTATGCCTGGGAAAGAAACTCCAGGCTCAACTTTCAGCTTTTAAGTATGTCCTAATGAGTCAGGAGCAAAAGGAATTAAGCTGGGATTTTGCGCACTGACACCTCTGCTCAGAGAAGACTGTAGCAAGAGCTAAATCTGAGGGAACCCAAGCTCTGGGCCAGCTTCGCACGCCCCTCACCTGCACTCGCCCATGTGAGACTCAGGGGCATGTGCCTTTCCTAAGGCAGGTGGAGGCTCTCAAGCCGCCTTGTTTCACATTCCACAGAATTTGCTCCTCTCTTCACCCTGCCCCCCAGCCTTCTGACCCCAAAAGAGATCTCTTTGATATTCTTGTGGAAACCACCTCTTTGCAACATGGAGAAAGAAGTTGTAACTAACTTGAGTTGTCTGTCTTTGAGTGGCAATGCCTCAAAAAAAAATCCTTCTAGTTTTCTCTGATTTTGCAGAGAAAACTATTCTAACAACTGGCTGCCGCACCCTCAGTGCCATGACAAGATAATGAGCAGTAAAGTTGCAAAACTCAGGAGAGCTGTGGTTTCTAGGGCCCCTCCTCACAAAGTTATTTTTATAAGGAACACCCGGTGCAGAAATGGTGACTAAGAGTACCCTGTCCATCGCCCGCATCCTGCTCTTACATTAGGAACTCATTAAGTGCTCTTTCTTGCCAATTTGGAGGCTTCTGTTTCATTTTGCTTTCAACTACAGTTCCTTTTCCCAGCTTTCAAAAGCAGCCTGCCCGCCCCCACCCCACCCTACCCTCCAGCAGTCTGTTCTAGATGAGTCTTTCAGACAGAGTTGTATTTGTAGAAGAAAAAAAAAATCCTAGGAAAGATAACACTGTCAATTCCTACTTGGCCAGTCATCAGTACTTGCAAGGTCTCCGGTAACATTCAATTCTTTAATTCCATAATAAGTAAAAATTCTGTGGGGCTGAAGACATGGCTCAGCACTTAAGAGCACTTGCTGCTCTTGCAGTGGTCATGGGTCTGGTTCCCAGAACCCACACCGCGGCTCACATCCATTTTGTAGCTCCAGTTTCAAAGAATCCAACCCCCTCTTCTGGCCTCTGTGCAGGCACAGAGGTGGTGCAAAGACATACATGCAGGCAAAAACACTCATACATCTAAAAGAAAGATCAATAAATATTTTAAGAAGTGATTCTGCTGCCAAAGATAGAAATGAGTTGTAACTTAAATTGCCACATTATAGAGTGTAGACAGGGGCTGGGGTTGTACTCCCTTAACTCTAAAAACTGCTCCAACAGAAATCTCTAATGTTAGAGGTATAAAGGATGCAGGGAGAGTGTTGCACCTATTAAAATGCTTGATTCAAAAGGGAAAAATAAACTGGGTGTGGTGTCGTGTGCCTTTAATCCCAGCACTCAGGAGGAAGAGGCAGGCGGATCTCTGAGTATGAGGCCAGCCTGGTCTACAGAGCGAGTTCCAGGACAGCCAATGCTTCACAGTGGAGACCCTGTCTCAAAGAAAGTTTTAAGTGAAATATGACTACTATTCATTTTACACAATTCTTCATTTGAAATCTAAATGTCCTTCACTCAACCTAATTAAATTTTGCTAGGATAAATTTGGAGGGTTATTAAGCCAAACTTTGACCCTTTCCTCCAAAATCACATTTTCCTTTTATACATGCTCCAGAGGGAGTGTGTTTTGTATGAATGCCTTGAATATTGGGTTACAGAGTTTGGCCAAGAATCCAGGGTTCCTTTCCTAGAATATATTTTGTAACCTCATACATGATGAAAACCAAATCATGCAACACACTTTACTTAAAATTTAAAAAGATTTGAGTATGGTCTTTTGAACAGCACATTGTTCATACCTGTATTAACTCACATCCATCAGAACTGCCCATCACTGTGCATTTGTATTCAAGATGTCACATTACAAAATAAAGATGGCTGTGGAAAAATTTGAAACTCTTAACATCAAAAGAATGTGTTTACTGATGGCCCAATCTAACATGTTTTGCCAGTGAAGATGTGATGACATGTGTTAACTGAAGGCTTTATGTGTGCTTGTAAGACCTTGTTTAGAAAATGTAACTGTCAACCCAAGAAAATCATTGTCATTTGAGTAATGGCTATGTAGTGTCGGTATTTTTATTTCTGTGCAATATAAAGTAATATTAAATAAAATTTAGTCTCTCTGTATTTAAAATGTGGTAGATGTGTGTCTCAAATTGATATGTTGGTCCATTCCTTAAATGGGATATTGTATAAACAAGACAAAGTCATTGTTCACAGTTGTAAAAGCTGGAAGTCAGCATTCAAGCCAGCAGCACATGTTGTGTCTAGTGAAGACTCTACTGTGTAGTGCCTTCTTACTTCACTGTACATGGCAGAAAGACAGAAGAAATTAATCCTATCAGCAAGGCAGAGCCCTAGTGACCTACTTGCTTCCCAGAGGCCACAATTCTCAAAGGTATTGCACTGGATATTAAGTTTCTACATATGAATTTTGGGAGGACACATATAGTATGACCAAAACAATAGGGTTTCCCAGAAGCTTTCCTTGTAATCAAGCCTGAAAACACAATGGTGAGTAGATCTGAGGGAATGTAGATAGGTCATTCTGTTGAAAATTATCTCCTTATAAGCTATCCCCTGCCCCTACACACACACACATTCCTCAGAGTAGGGGCTGTTTCTTGAAGTTAGTATCTACAACCTTGCCTTTGTAATTGCCACAAGCAATGTTGTGTTGAACAGATGTAGGGAAGGAGAATGTCTTGTTTTCCTACTTTTTACACAGCTGGGGTAAGACATATACCAGTAAGGCCGTGAGAATCACATGAGTGACTATACGTGGCTCTGACTGTGGAGTCTGGGAGGACTTGACCCTTTGGAAAAAGAATATCTTGTGCTGCTTTGTGACCCCAACTCTTTAACCAGACCAAACCTACATGGTTCTCACAGGCAGTCACGTTCACTACTGGCCACCCTACACAGACACAGAGTGCCCCAAGTACACTAGCAGTAGCCTATGATTCATTTGGTATGGTTGAGCTTCTGCTGAGAGCCTAGCTCCTCACCCCAGCATACCCACTGGAACTCTACTATTTTCTCTTACCCTTCACCGATAGTCAGGCCTGTGAACTGCTGTTGCCAACCCTGCCCCATCCACCTTCATCTCTGTAAGAAAACATAGAACTAAATCTCTACAAATAGCCTTCTCAACCCCACATCCACGCTGCAATGCTACTCACCCAGAACACTCAACCTGCCCTGAGATGACTTATTAGAACAAAATCTAAGTTTCATAACTCTCATCTCTAAAATAATTACACATTTAAAAAATCCATGTGCAATGGACAATGAAAATGTTTCACCTAACTGAGGCTGAGTAGATGAGTCAGGCTATAAAGCGCTTGATACACAAGCATGAGAACCCAAGTTTAGAACATCAATATACACATGAAAAACTGGGCCTGTTGATGTGTACCCAAAATCATAGTTCTGTGGATGTCAAGGCAGGAGGATCACTAGAGCTCAGTAACTGGCTAGTCTTTCTGAATTGGTGAGTCTCACTGAATAGGTTCGGTGAGAGACCCTGTCTCTAAAATGTGAGAGCAATCAAGGAAGCAACTTGACATCAACCTCTGGTCTCCACATACGTGTGCACATACCTACATGAACACATGCATATATCACACAAACCAAAAAATGTTATAAAAATTTATTGTGATCTTTTTGGGTGGCAAACTTAAGATATTATTAAGGTATTTTTATAATTAATATATAAAATACCATCCAATTCACTCAGGTAAAGGTTATTCTCTTTCTCATCTGCCATCACTGGTTCCTTTCCATCCAAATATGCTTCCTTCCAACACATGGTTTCTGGCAACATCTATGGAAAGCCTATTATTAGAAATTGACACACTAAGTTTATTGTGAAGACACAATAACAAACAGTAATGCACATACAGTAGAAAAAACAACTCCCATATTGTCATCACCTTTTTCCGGAGACTATTTTTGTGTCTATGGAATGTATTTTATCTTTCTTTGTGATATGCAATTCCAGAAAAAAAAAGTGTGTGTGTGTGTGTGTGTGTGTGTGTGTGTGTGTCTGTGTGTCTGTGTGTCTGAAAGACTGGGAGGGGCGCTGATGTGAGAGGGAGGGAGGGAAAGAGAGAGAAACAAAAACAGAGACAGAATCGTGAGTGATATTGTCATTCTAGCCCAGCTTAAGAGTCCTGGAGTCCAGTTGCAATATGATCCAGGTTGCTGTAAATCAAGTGTCTTAAATTTTGTGAGCATCATTTCATTATTTTTAAAAGGGTGGTGACTCAACATTCACACCATTATTAAAATAGGAAAGAACTAAATGTGGAAGGAGTGTCTGGGAGTCTGAGTGTCTCCAGGGGTATGGCTTTTTTTCTCTTCTCCATCTCGTAAGTAAAGCCTTATGAAAACTCACAGTAGCAGAGTAGATGGCTCAGAGGTTAAGAAGAGTTGCTGCTCTTTCCGAGAGCCAGGGTAAAATTCCCAATACACACATGACAACTAACAAATCTGTATCTCCACTGGCTCTGAGGCCCACTTCTGGCTCCTTTGGGCCCTGCATGCACTTACTGTACAAATATGGCAAGTATATCTGTTATTTACAATCATGTCCTGTGTCATAGTTAACACCATGATCATGGCAACTCTTATAAAGGGAAAGACTTAACTGGGGCTCCCTTACAGTTCAGTGGTTCAATCCATTATCATCATGGTGGGATATGGTAGTATGCAGGCAGACATGATACTGGAGAAGTAGCTGAGAGTCCTACATCTTGCAGGCAACAGAAAGTGGTTTGAGTGTAACACTGAGGGAAACTTGAGCAAAAGAGACCTCAAAGTCTGCACCCACAGTGACACACTTCCTCCAGCAAGGCCTCCTAACAGTGCCACTCCCTTTGGAGCCATTTTCTTTCAAACCACCACATCCTGGTACATAAAGTAAAAATAAATACATCTTTTAAAATAAAGTTATCTCACAGTACCATATCGAAAGAATGCAATAAAGTAGTGGTTCTCCTGTACCATTACATGAGGACAAGTTAAGAAACAGGCATTTTAAGGCATAAGAGATGGTTCAGGAGTAAGAACACTTACTGGTATTCTAGAAAACACGGGTTTAATTCCCACACAAATATAATGGCTCTCAACCATCTCTCCAGTTCCAGGGGATCGGAATCCTTCTGATCTCCTTGGATGCTGCACACATTTGTGATGCATAGATATGCATGCAGACAAAGCACCCATATGCATAAAATAAAAATAAATTTTATCTTCTGAGAAGAGAAACCGTCATTCTCAAGTCAATCTCAAGCTTGCTAAATTAGAAAGTCTAGGAATGAAGCCTCTGTTCTGCTCTAACAAATCCGCCCCACAATTTCTACTATGCCCTGATTTTACTATTCTAAATAACTTCTTCTGAGTTTGATATCAACATTTTCCCTTAAAGGGGGCTGAATTTATCCATTTTATGCTTGTCAACAATACAATATCATACTTCACAATGGGGATCAAGGTGTGATAACTGAAGCTTATGGAAGAGAACCAAATCACATCAAGAAGGAAGCCCATTTATTTTGAAGGTCAGAGGTTAGAGACCCAAAGGTGACTTCTGCTTCTTGTCATACAACTTAAGAATAGGAGCTCTTATTTTCTTTCCTTTATTATCCTCACTAGGCTATAGTGTTGATGATGATTTACTGATGCAGGAGATCACTACCCCATGCATAAAATAAAACAAAAAATGCTTGATGACATCTGTCATCCCCAGCCAGACCAGTCCTAAGGAGACTGTGTGGTGATCTGAATAAAAATGGCCCCCATAGGTCCATGTGGCACTATTAGGAGGTGTGCGGAGAAAGTGTGATCCAGTCTCTTCCTGCTGCCTGTGGATCAAGATATAGATCTCAGCTCCTTCACCAGCACCATGTCTGCCTGCACACCACCATGCTTCCCACCACGATGATAGTGGACTGAGCCTCTAAACTGTAAGCCAGCCTCAATTAAATGTTTTCCTTTACATGAGTTTCCATGGTCATGGTGTCTCTTCACAACATTAGAAACCCTAACTAAGTCACTGTGTCTGCAGGCATATGGATCCAAAGGCACATCTGCATCTGAGAGTCAAGACAGCCTCACTCTAAAGAGACATTTCTCCCTCCCCCACCCATCTATTCTTTTGTGCTATTCTGGAAAGCAAAGTGACCTCTGGGGTAGTTTCAGATGTGCACGACACAATTTTTCTTTCTTTTACCTACTGGTGCCATCTACATGTTTTACTTAAAGTGTTTCCCCCCTCCCTACGGGATTGATTTCATTGCTATGTCAATGAAAGAAATAGCTCCCACCTCAAACGAATTGAAGAGATGGTTTAAGATGGAGCCGAATCTGAATGACAACAGCCCAGGGACAGAAATTTAGGTTTCCTGGACTTCCAATGAACAAAGAAAGTGATAGAAGACCAAACACATTGGTGGGTATGTCAGGTAGGTAGGTAGGTTGCAGCAAAAAGAGGAAAATTCTGCTGTAGGCCTTAAGTGTTATCTGACAGCATTCTTGACCCTTTTGTTGGTGGGAAGCAGGGTTCTGTTCATACATTACAAAGGATTTACCTAAAGACATTATAGGGGATGACAGTAAATGGTGTTTAAGGGGACTAAAGATGTCCCAAGATAATTTGGCTATGGCTTTGTAACACTCTGACCTCTCTACATCATTGAAGTTCTAATCAATCAATCAACTTTTGTAGTCAGAGCTTCTTTCCAGGAAATCTGGTTCACAGCTGTTAGCATGTCTCCCTAGCTCCCCTCCAGGCCAGGAGCTTCCTGCTTTTCCTATACAACTCTCGCCTCTCGCCATTCCTCATATGGCTTGAAACTGACTCAGCTGCTTTCTTCTGCTCGTTCCCACTCCATTTCTCATGGAATGGCCTTTTGTTCTTTTTTCATTCTACAAAAGCCCATCCCTCAAGTTCTACCTCCATGCGTGTTCAAGCACACCACTGAATTTTACACTTGGTTTCCCAGGGGTCAGTTTGAGACATTAATGGCATTCTCGATCAGACTTTGGAGGGGAATGGGAACACCAAAATCTGAAGAGTTAGCTTAGATGTGTCTTCCAGTGCCCTGTTCTCCCCAGCTGGATCAGAAATGC